CTTTGGCCTCTGGGTTGGAATCGAGTGGTTTGTGTGTTACTTCCGGACGCGCAGGAGAAAGGTGTAGCTGCCATGGGTCTTGGAAGGGAAGGGGGAATGGTGGTGACCACGCTCACCTCTGAAGCTCTTGCAGTTGCAGCGCCATTTGGGCCTGTATTGTTGTTGCGGTTAAAGGTTCTTCTGGGTTGCTCTCTATCTTGGTCAATCAGACCCTGTTTCATTGCATCTTCGATTTGTACCCCCATTTCATGTAGATCTGAAAAAGTGGGAAAGGGGAGCACAATCATTTTTTGCATCAGTTTTGGCTGGAGATTGCGCACAATCATCCTGATTTGGTCTTTGTCGGTAGGCCTCAGGGTCATCATTGAAGCCTTCGCCCTCTACTGGGTTACAAAATCCGAGAAGCTCTCCTTAGGCTCCTGCCTTGTTGTTTCGAGATCTCGGGTCGTAATCTCGATTTGGGTATTGTAAGAGTATTGCGCAACAAAGGCCTCGGCCATTTCATCCCAACTCCGCTTGACATCATCCTCTAACTTCGCATACCAGATAGCGGCCACACTCGACAGGGTCCGACCGAATAGTGAAAGCTTTTGTGGTTTGGTGAGGCCCATTGGCCGTAGTATATCTGAAAATAGCCGGAGATGCACCATGGGGTCCCCAGATCCGTCGAAGCGATCAATTTGCGGCATTTTAAACCTATCCGGCAGCGCAACAGCCATGTCGGTATATCCATCCTCGATATCCGGGATAGCCTTTACCCCTTGGGATTTCTTGAACAACTTCTCAAGCTTGCTCAATTTTAGTGCTGTATGGTTTACCTCGAACTCGAAGGGAGAGTCCGGTTGATTGACAAGCGTAGGTGCCTTAGATAGCTGGGGCAGAATAAGGGGCGGAGCTGGCCCCGTTGGTATGTCTGTATCTGCCTGGATATTTGGTGCCTCTTCGGGTGCCGGGATTCCTGGTGGGGGAGGAACTGGGTGTGAAGCAGATGCTCCGGCTTGTTGTTGCAATCTGGCAATTAACTCTGCCTGTTGGGCCATGATCTCGGCCTGTTGTTTGGCAAATTCATCTCGGCGAACAGCATCCTGCTGCATGGCTCTCATGGTGTCCTGCATTTGACGCATCATTTCCTCAACTCCTGTCGATCCCGCCATACTGCCCTGATCTGTCTGAACTACTGGCAGGTCTATCTCTATAGCAACAATTGGGATCTCAATCCGACTGTCCACTGATGGGGTAATCCACTGCTCTGGTAACCTCTACTCAGATATACTGTGCCTTTTTGACCTCCGTCTGATAACCGGGGGTAGAGAGTGAAACACTGGTTGTCCGTCAACCAGATACTCAGATCGATTGAGTCGGCGACCTCTTGTCCAGGGTGCTTGGGGAATATCTGCTTGGTCTAGCGCAATTGTGCTAAACTACCTAGCAAAAAGATAAATAAAGCAATAATAAGGAAATAAACAACAAGACGAACGGACAGCATAACAGCGTAAATAAACACAACACACAGTCGAGTATAATTAACACGCAATTGATACACTGTCCTCAAAAACCGATCATTATTCCTGAATTACTATTCCCAAATCACTGTCCCCGAAGCTAAATTTGATACCCGCAGATAACTAATTCCGAAAATACTGAACTGGTGCCCGCAGGACCTTGATACCCAGAAATACTGAACCGGTGCCCGCAGGCCTAATACCTAGAAACACTGAACTGGTGCCCGCAAGCCTCATGCTCAAACTTGCAAACTGATACATGCATTCGTATAGAGACGCACTGTAAAAGCACATAACAAACAAGTGAAAGCCAAAACACCCCTATGTTGGGGTAGGGTTTCCCTGTCCTATTTTGTCAGGAACTAGGGTTTCACTACGCACGCAGCGGTTTCAAATCACCTATAAACGAGTAAGCAACCTGTCCTAGTTTGGAATGGTCACTATAGATTCCGAATATGCACAAGGTCGAATGGTCAAAAAGGGTGCCTCGGTAAAATCGGGGTTTGTGCTCCCATACTGGCAGAGCCCGTAACTGGTTAGCCTTATGGGATGCTTCTCGAAGCAAGCCTCCGGCAAACTGTTCAGGAATAGCAAATGGCAAACACGGTGTCCTAGGCGCACCAATGCAAATGCAATACAAAGAAACACATAAGTGTAGTCAAAACAAGATATCATGAGTTCGAGTCAAGTTCTCTAAATCCCCAGCAGAATCGCCAAAAACTGTAGACGCGCCCTCGGGTCTCTCTACAGTTCGGACTCAGTTGGTGTCACGGTCATGTATCTAATCTCGCGGAGTGCAATGCAAGACCGATGAATCATCAAAGAGTCCAAATCCGGCAAATCGTTTTTGAAAACAGATTTTTTGAAAGAAGTGCCAAACATGGACTGCTTTTCCAGATACAGAGTCGCCACCTAAATATTTTATTTTGGAAAATTTAGGAAACCCTGACTCGTTGCCTAAGGCCACGTGTCCGTCATCACCAAAGTTGCCTCGGCTCGGGAACTTGGGTACGATTGGGGAAGGTCACTTCGTGAGCACCCCCGCTCGCGCCGATCAAAGATCGGCCTCTACTAACCATGATATCTAATTTTGAAAACATTATGCGTTCTTATTCCGGTTATTAGCCTAGAGTTACTACGTGATGCGCACAGCATACAAGTATAGACTGGGTCGCCTGAATTGGAACAAAACATTTCATGTTTGTTTATTTGAAAATGGTTTGATGGTGCTACCCGCAAGTAGGCTAAGACGTGGATTTGCCACCCTCAGGTGGGCTTAGAAAACATGATTTTGCCACTATCTAGTGGGCTTAAAACTCGCAGTCGATGAATTGTTTCAATTCAAATAACCCAACCTTCACCCACAGGCATTCAGGCAGTTATATCATGTAAGCACATAGCCTCATGGTAAGCATGCTATCATGCCAGTCACTCATACGCATGCAAGGATACTAAAGCATAAGTACTTACCGAGTACTCTAAGCCAAAACAGAAGTTCTGTTAGAAATCCATGCATGATCCTAACTATACAGAAATACCTAATGCAACACATGCAAAATGCAACTAAGATAGGCTCGGCTATTCTAAACATGGCATATGATGATGCTACAGCTAACACGTATTCAATTTGGAATTGAAATACAAATGCAGTTAGTATGGTGCGCCGAGCCCGGTGCATGCAATACAGATGAATGAATGTAAACATGTTATCATACTGTATGCTAATTGAAACATGCCCTAATCTAACCATCATAAGCAGGTAAATAAAATGGAGAAAGACGTGGGGTTGGAAGACATACATCATACGCACGCACACTTATTACAGTTGTGCCCTCGCTCGGAGGGTCTGAATAAATAATACAATCTGAATGAATAATTAAATATTACAAAACCCTAATTAATTAACAAATTAACTAGGAAAGCGATAAACTAGCATGTAAGCCTATTGACTGCCTCAGCTCTGTTCCGAATGGTGGAATGATGCATGCTTGAATTGCCTGGCGCGGAAATCCATTGCGATGCCCCGATTCGCCTCTGTTTGAATTTGATCCACCACATTTCAAATTTTGAGCATTTTTGTTTTTTTTCCCCTTGATTATGCAGCATTTTTGTTAATCGATACCACTTGTAAGTGAATGTATAAATGAAAACTTTTTGAGTAGCAAAAATACTTTAGATTTTAATTAAATTTGTGGTTTGTTGGTTAGTCTGAGTTTTACAGAGACTAAGTTGAGAAATCCAATCATAAATAATTAGTTGAAACAGCTGCCAAACTCAAATGGAATCACAATCTGGAATCTAATTGATGCCTGATGGATCATCTCTCTCTTTATCTATATCTTTATGCCTTGGTTGTTAATCCACAATTGTGAGTTTTGGCCTTTTCATATCATTTGCATGAATAAACAAACAAATTTAGTGCTAATCTCCTACAGATTAGGCTTTATGGTTAAAGTGTGGTTTTTCTATTATCATTAAAGGAGATCTATTAATGACCCACCACCATCACCACCCACTAATTAAACCCTAAATTTATATGGGGGATCTTATGTGATGTCATGCATCCACAAAGCTAGAATATGAATTTTTGAGATTAGCTTATTTGACAAAAACATATTATTAAAAAGTTTCATCAGGCAACTAACTCCACTGGCTTTGGAACATTAAACCAATGCTCAGTCCAGCGCAAATCAAGAATTTGTGTCACTATCTACAACCTAATCTTTACTCCAAATTTTATGATGTTGAGCTTTTGGAATCGCGCAATCATAACCTAATCACCAAATTTGGGAGAGATCAGTAGTACCTAACATGATTTTGTTGAACTCTAATTATTCTAATTTATCCAATCATTGAATTTTGCCTCTGATTAGTGTAATCTTCTTGCAGATACTTTCATATTCTGGTGGAACCAAAATAATGGGTGGTTTGGTTTGGTGTGTTGGATAAAAAAGTTGGGCATCAAAGGGTGGTAAGTGCTGTGTAAAGCCAACTAAAGTCCCCAAATAGGGGAAAGTTCCTAGTAGATGAATTATACTAGGCAGGAAGTTGTTCTTCATGTGAATTGACCTTTCTACCCTGTCCGTAGGTAGAGTTCAGAGGTTTGTAATAGAGACTTCGCTCTATTTTGGAATATACTCAAATTCATCAAGATAATTGAAATTAGAAGAAGAGCGACATAAGGAAGAAAGCAAATTCATGGAGTAAGATCAATCCCCTGAAATCATAAATGGTAAATTAGTTATTTCAATATTGTTATAGGAAAAAGGGTGTTTTAACTGAGACAAAAATTTAACAGCTTAAGTTCATGAAACATCAATTCATAAAATATGATTCAACCATTGAAGGGAGTCAACTTTTGAACAACATAGGTAGTATGCAAGACCTACAATAATTCAACACAAACATTATTTCAAGAAACCCTTATTTCATGCAATCTGGCAATCACACAAGTAAATTATAGTATTTATAGGAATCAACTCAAAATTGACCAACACAAAACCTCAAATACTTCGAAATTTTCATTGAATTACCTTTTTCATTCCATGCATTAGCGTGTTTTGCTGACAAAGCACATAATCGCAGATTAAATCAAAATGCTATCTATTCTAGCAAGGCTCAAAATACAATGCCTTGGCCCAAATTTTGGGGCTATGGCCAGAAACAAACCTGATATACAAATAAATATATTTTTCATGTTGGTGTTTTCTATTTTTCTATTTATTATTTTTCAAGATAAAAATTCTGATATTATTAGTAGTATGCATGTCCACATGAATTGTCTTCAATTCCCTTGCTCAGTTGCAATCTATCTTCAGGTCTTGTGGCCATCCGAACTCCTCCAAGAATGCCAATACAACTCCATTCGACCACCCAAAGCCCGTCTACATTGCCAAGAAAATCAACCAAAGCCAGTTTGAGATTTTTTGCTTTAATGTGTCTCATGGTTGATTTTTAGGGAAGACTATTGACTGAAAAATATAAGAATATTTGTTACCTGGGGTATGTATTCACCACCACCTCCAAATTCTCCACATTTTTCGACATCGTATTTTTCATGCATTGCACCTGATTTCTTGTAAGCAACGTAGTTGGTTCTGATCCATCTCACAGCAATATCCTCCGCCATTGACCTTGCTTCCTTTGATCCAGACCTCGCCAAACCTTCAACAATCATGTGCTGTAGTGGTGCCCAACCATTCGGAAAGTCCCTTTACAAAAAAACATTATTGTGAGATCACATTATTACCTACAAAAGATACGATTTTCTCAACTATGTTCTTCAACAGATACGATGATCTGTTCAAGGTACATTTTAAGAGGTTAATTACCATTGTTGTCCAGAATTAGTTAGAGATGTTGCAATCCCAACTGCACGAATCAGTCCTGAACTTTGAAGACTTTGCATAACTTGCTCCACCAATGTGCAATCTTCACATATTTAAAACAATATATAGGAGATTATGTTAAATAAAACACTAAATTTATAATAATTGTTTGCACACTCAAGAGTGTTGTAAAAGGAATTGCATCTTGGATATATAACAAGTGTTACAAACCTGAGTTAAACAACTCAATCCATAGAGGAACGAAGTTTGAGGCAAATATATTCCGATTCTGGTTTGAGGCCTCCCACGTGTGACCCTGCTAAAAATGTCAACAAGAAATTGATTAGAAAAAAAAAGAAAAAAAAAAGAAAAAAAGGGGGATATAACATGTAATCTCTGTGAGGCATGTTGTCATAGATTTCACATGAAGAAACCACCTTGCATGTAGTTCCATTGCTAAGCCAATAATCGAGCCATTGTCCCATCTCTGCATTCCAAAAAACAGAATTCATGGCTTGTTTTCTTGCTTGAGCTGCTTCTTGAAAGTGTACTGAAATGGTACAATCTCCAGTAACATTTGCTAAGAACGCTATGTCAAGTTCCATCTGAGACAACATGCAAGAGTTCATGTTATATTGTAGATAAATATATTGGATCATTGAATTCAACCAAAGCTTTATTCTAAAGGAGAATTGAATCAAACCTTAAGTATGAATGCATTTAAATCCACAGGCATAATTGATGATGTAACCAATGTTGTGAGATCAGATCCATTCCTGCAAATGAAAATCATACCATCATTATTCAATACAGAAACAAGCACGAGTATCTAGGTCCTAGAGATACAATTGTACATCTTAGTTTCCTTCAGCACACATGTTTGGGTCAAAAATGACCAAAGTGAAACACTACCTCATCCATCTTGTACTGAAATCCCACCCACTTTCAGCGGTTGAAGCCAGTTCCCTATACAGATGTTGTTTTGCGGAATCATTCATGAGCTTGGAAGCAGTTTCAATGTCCTAAGAGAAGGATTACATGTTTTTAACCTAAAAACTCAAAATATTTCTTTATGAATTATTCAGATCACACCAGTTTAAATTTAAGTTCATGGGTCAGAGAGGATATACAATAGTTGAAGATTCTGGCCTTGGTTTGTTCCACATTGCATAGTATCGACTTAAAGTGCGATTGCATCCTTCAGCATCATGAATTATCACACTATGTATTTCTGAAAACAATTTAAAACCAATGAAACCAAACTAACTTGCAAGGATTGCTAGAACAACCCAATTAAGAAGATGAACAATATATAGATGCGTGAGATTAATAAAGCTCTCAATACCTGAATTCCAAAATTTGTGTTCTTTTAGCAAGGCAGGGAGAGACTTTCTAGCAAAGTCTACATCGCCGGTCCTAGTGTATATATCATACACCATCGCACTCAGGAGTGGAGGTTCGCTGCAAAGTCCCAATAAACTACTTGTTTAACCAAAAAAATATACAAATAAACGCAAGCAAAAACAGGACACACTTACAAACCCCTACCCCCATAAAAACACAAAGAAAGAAAGAAAGACTGACAAGTAGACCATCAATTTGGGAGCTTGAATGCAGACTAATAAAGCCTTCAAAATTCATACTATTTAGTGGAGTGTAATGGTAACTATTACCCTGGTTTTTATACAATTTGAATAGGTGGTTTTGTATTGATTTCAATCCTAATAAAGGAGTATAAAATAGTTACTATTCACTAAAAACTGTAGGATCCTTAAATTCATGACCACATTGGTTGCAATGTGAATAAGCTAGTGTAAATAATTTATGAAACAACGTACGTCGTTATTATTCATGATACACAAATGCAAGTTTAATGGGTTAAGCATGGTTCATAGACATGAACTGCATCATGCATTAAATCTATTTTGCGGATGATTTTGATACTTAATTCATGAAATAAAAAGAAAAAGAAGAAAGATGCAAAAATTAGTCATCTTAATCATATATCTGTAAAATTATTCAATACCAATTCAGTAATTTAAGTAGTGATTGCAAGTACCTTATGAACAGACTGGCAGTACTGGCAATTAACCAAGCATATTGCGAAGCAAATAAATGTGCTGATGTCTTAGCAAACTAAGAAGGTTGTATGACTGATGGATTGCAATTTTTTCACTACATTTCTCATTGTATTGCTAATCAGTTGTATAACATTGCCGTAGTAGGGGTTGAATACCCAGAACCATGTACTAAATTTGTTTTTAATAAGTTCCAATTAACCCAAAAACCATCCTCTAGCTAGGGCTCTCAAGAAATCAAGAAATGTTCAAAGGGACTTTACCTCCTGTTAGTGTAATATGCCCTCGCACCATTAAGAACATGCCCAAATTCATCTATAAGGGAAACGAGATTTGTCACAATTCCTTTTGCAGTCTCATACATTTTACTTGCTAGCAAACCCCTGCATGACAAATTCAAAGCCCCTCCCATTAAAAAGATGCTTGAGAACAAACTATAAAACAACCGAAAATAATGGAGACAACAAAAAAGTGTATCATGAAAATATCTCCAAGCTGTTGCCGGATGATTAGAAAAACTTAGGATCAACCGGCTGGTTGTTCGGAAGAGACTTTGAGATGATTTTCACAACCAAAAAATAAAATAAAATTCATGGTCCGTAAACAAAGGTAAAGACAACAACTGAAATAAACACTTTGACTGACCAAATCAAAATATGCAATAAAGAAACAACATATTTCAACTCAAGTAACTAAGGTACATTTTAAAAGTTAGGTAGAATAGTACATTGTAGGTATCATATAACTATAAGATAAAATTGACTAATTAGAAATATTTAGTTAATTTAGTGGCACACATTTAAATTGGCAGCATCAACTGTTGCACCAAAACCGAACCCTAAAGCTACCGGGAAAGAGCCCATGAGGCAGGGCCGAGTGTTCGCCCTAGTACCGGGAGACGTGCAGAATACCGAGACCGTTGTGTCAGGTATTCTCTCTATTTGTACTCAAAATGCTTATGTACTGATTGATTCGGGGTCTACGCATTCATATGTGTCGCATGTTTTTTCGCGAAAACTGAATAGACCATTAGAACCCATGAATTATCTGTTAGCTGTATCATCACCCATTGGGGAATCTATGACCTGTGCATATATGTACCCTGCTTGTGAAATTATTGTTGGAGATGCACATCTGTATATTGATTTACTGCCACTGAACATTGATCATTTTGATGTAATATTGGGAATGGACTGGTTAACGAAATACCATGCTACCATAGACTGTGTAACGAAACAAATAGTTTTCCGCCCACCGGGTTTACCCGAATTTGTGTTTAACGGGGTTGGAGTAGTACCTCCTCCGTATTTGATTTCATCTGTGAAAGCTGTTAAATTGATTAGAAGGGGGTGTAAGGGGTATCTGTGTTCTGTATTGACTGTATCTACTGATGATAATGCTAACGTGGACAGTATTCCTATAGTCAGAGAATTCCCAGATGTTTTTCCAGATAATCTGCCAGGGGATTTGATTGACAGGGAGATTGAATTTACCGTTGATGTGATTCTAGGAACGCAGCCAGTATCTAAAGCTCCTTACCGAATGGCTCTAACTGAACTGAAAGAATTGAAAGTGCAACTGCAAGAACTGCTGGATAAGAAGTTCATCAGGCCTAGCACTTCGCCATGGGGCGCTCCTATTTTATTTGTGAAGAAGAAAGACGGCTCACTGAGACTGTGTATTGACTACCGTGAACTAAACAAGGTAACTGTGAAAAATAAATACTCATTGCCACGTATTGATGACTTATTTGATCAGTTACAGGGTGCTCAAGTGTTCTCTAAGATCGACCTCAGATCAGGATACCATCAGTTGAAAGTTAAACCATAAGACATTGACAAAACTGCTTTTCGAACGAGGTATGGACATTACGAATTTTTAGTTATGCCTTTTGGAGTTACCAATGCACCTGCTGCATTTATGGACCTCGTGAACAGAATCTTTAAACTATACCTTGATGACTTTATTGTAGTATTCATTGATGACACACTGATTTACTCCAAAAGTATAGAGAAACATGAACATCACCTGAGATTTGCCCTACAGACCCTAAGAGAACAGAAACTGTATGCTAAACTGTCTAAATGTGAATTTTGGCTTGATCATGTTATGTTTTTGGGGCATGTTGTTAGCAAAGATGGAATTTCTGTTGATCCGCAGAAAATTAAAGCTGTAGTAAACTGGCCTAGACCAACAAATGTGACAAAAGTCCGAAGCTTCTTGGGACTAGCCGGGTATTACAGAAGATTTGTCAAGGATTTTTCCAAAATCGCCTTACCGTTGACTCAGTTAACTCAAAAGGGGATATCATTTGACTGGACTGACCAAAGGGAATCAGCATTCCAAGAGTTGAAAACTCGACTTGTGACTGCATCGGTTCTTACCCTACCTTCAGGTACAGATGGTTATACTGTATTTAGTGATGCTTTTCATAAGGGTTTGGGATGTATTTTAATGCAGAATGGGAGAGTTATTGCTTATGCTTCCCGACAACTGAGACCGCACGAAAAGAATTACCCAACCCATGATCTGGAACTTGCTGCAGTAGTATTTGCACTGAAAATCTGGCGTCACTATCTGTATGGGGCGACATGTGAAGTATATACTGACCACAAGAATTTGAAATATTTCTTCACGCATAAATAACTGAACATGAGACAGCGGAGATGGCTAGAACTGATTAAAGACTATAACCTACAGATTTTGTACCATCCGGGAAAAGCCAACACCGTTGTCGATGCACTGAGCCGGAAATCAATTGGAAACTTAGCCTGTTTGCTTACCGGGCAGAAAGAACTACTTTGTGACCTTGAAAAATCTAAAATTGAAATTGTTTTATGAGAACAAGGTGGAACAATAGCTGCTATTTCTGCTCAACCAACACTGATTGAAGAGATTAAAGAGAAATAACAACTGGATGACTTCTTGAAGAAGATCATCGAAGAAAGGGAAACTAAACCAAGACCGGGTTTCAAATTTGAAAGTAATGTGCTGAAATTTCAAGAAAGACTGTGTGTACCAAATGACTCTGAATTGAAAAGAAGAGTTCTGCAAGAGGGCCACAATTCAAAATTTTCTATCCATCCAGGGAATACGAAAATGTACCAAGACCTGAAACGGAATTTCTGGTGGCTGGGAATGAAGAAAGAAATTGCTTATTTTGTATCGAAATGTCTTCATTGCCAACAAGTTAAAGCCGAACATCAACGACCCACAGGCTTATTACAGCCCTTACCCATACCGGAGTGGAAATGGGAACATATCGCCATGGATTTTATTGTGGGATTGCCTCGCTCCAGTAAAGGTATGGACTCAATTTGGGTTATTGTTGATAGAATGACTAAATCTGCTCACTTCTTACCTGTTAAGACAATTTATAATGCGGACAAATTGGCTATACTCTATATTGATGAAATTGTTAGATTGCATGGAGTGCCTGTGTCCATTGTTTCTGACAGGGATTCGAAGTTTACATCGAGATTTTGGCAAAGCTTACAGACTGCATTGGGTACTAAATTGAGACTGAGTAGTGCTTATTATCCTCAGACAGATGGCCAGTCAAAAAGGACCATCCAGACTCTGGAGGATTTATTAAGAATGTGTGTCCTTGATTTTCAGGGAAACATGGAAAGTCATTTGCCTTTAGCCGAATTCGCCTATAATAACAGTTTTCATTCAAGTATTGGTATGGCGCCTTTCGAGGCATTGTATGGCAGAAAATGTAGATCTCCGATTTGCTGGGTAGAAGTTGGAGATGGGCCTTTGCTTGGGCCCGAGATTGTATACGAAATGACTGAGAAAGTGAAACTAATACAACAGAGACTGAAAACCGCACAGAGCAGACAGAAAAGTTATGCTGATGTCAGAAGACGGGATAGAGAATACGAAGTGGATGATCACGTGTTTGTGAAAGTGACACCGATGAAAGGCCAGACTCGTTTTGGAGTCAAAGGCAAGTTAGCGCCGAGATACGTCGGACCATATGAGATTATTGAGAAAATCAATCCGGTGGCGTATCAAGTTGCGCTTCCTCCTAAAATGGAGCATATGCACAACGTCTTCCACATTTCTATGTTGAGGGACTACCTCCGGGATCCTTTCCACGTAATAGAGCCTACTCGTGTAGTGCTGAGTGATAACTACACTTACGAGGAACGGCCTATTCAGATTGTAAACAGACGGATCAAGAAGTTGAGAAACAAAGAGATCCCGTTACTGAAAGTCGACTAGAAAAACCACGGTGGCGTGTATGCCACTTGGGAAAGGGAAGATGACATGGCTAAAAGATATCCTGAACTGTTTCCACTGAATCCTATTTTCTTCCAAAACGAAGGTAACTCTAGTTTAGAGGACTAAACTCTTTTTAAGTAGGGGAGACTGTAACAACCTCACCACTGTTTACCGTTAAACTACCGATTATTGCTAAACTAAGACTAATTATGAAAAGTAATTGAACTGATTGAAATACTGAGCTGATTGACTGAAATCTGAAACTGATTGATTGACTGTATCCGTTTAAATGCACTATCTATTTGTTTGACTGTTCGATTATCTGTTCATGTTTTTATGGTTAAATTGCAAATTGAAGGCCTTATCGGCGGCCGAACCCGAAATCGATTAGTGTTTTATGATCAATAGAATTTATGCGAATTTATGGTGTATTTATCTGAAATGTGATTTGGTATAATTTAATTGGATTAAAATAAGCTTAATCCCACAAGTTGCATTATTTGCCACCTTGCCATTTTAGTGGGCCACTATCAAAACCTTGGTTGGAGCCGTATCACACTTAGACAACACACCTTCTTCAGCCATTTTGAGAGGCAAAACCGACTGAGAGAGAGAGAGGTAGAGGAACTTAGCTTCATCTTGAATTTTGCTTGGAAATTTGAAGGATTAAGTGCATATTTGAGCTTGTATATCTTGCATCCAAGACCTAAGGTAGTGTAATTACCCTCTTGTTTGTGAATTGAACTTGTTCTTACATGATTCATGTCAAATTTAGTGGATTAAGTCATGAAATAGCTTCACATGTTGAATTATAACTTAATTCATGCATGCATGGTTGTATTGATGAATTTTAAGTTGTTTTCATGGCAAAATTGTCACATGCATGTTCATAATTAAGCTTAAGTCCATGATTTCATCTTGTTTTGGGAACAATTGGCTCACTAGAGCATCAAATTGAAGCTTTGAGATGGTTTAAATTCATGCATGTTATGTTCGAATTATATTCTTGAAAATTGGTTTGAAATTGAGTTGTTTGAAACACCATTGGGCTTTGATTTTACAATTGGGCTTTGGAATCATGTTAAACTATGAGTTTTGGGATGTTTTCTAGAAAATTGGCCCAAGAGGATCGAAATTTATGTTTTAAAACTTGGTTTTGAGCTTGAGGTTCAAATCTGGAATTTCTAGAATTTGGACTCACGCTCGAGCGGGGTGACTGGCGCTCGAGCGTGAAATTCGTGCTCCCAGTACTTTGCACTGTTTTGATTTCCGCTCGAGCGAAATAATTGACGCTCGAGCAGGACATTATGTCTCATGCTCGAGCGGGTGTCGAGCGCCCAATCGAGCGTGATTTTCACCTATCCAGCACTTTTGACTGTTTTGCAGAATGCTCGAGCGGGTAAGTCTGCACTCGAGCGGAAACCTTTGTCTGCATGTCCACTCGAGCGGAGTAACCTACGCTCGAGCGTGACCCTTGTTTTCTGAAAATTCTGAAAATGCTTTTAAAGTGCATCTTTGCATTCTCATCTCACCCTAGGTATTCTTAGGCCTAGTTTAAGGCATCTTAATGAGGATATAGATGTAGAACCACACCGAGGCAAATTAGGGATCAAGTTATTATTTTCCCAACTGTGTAGCTTAGTGTGTGTTCAATCTGTAACTGTGTAGGGTTGGCGACTGGGGATGCACTCTAGCTTTACTGTAGCCCAGAACTCTGTGAGTAACAACTGTGTAAAGATATGTTCAAAATGATTGAACTGTACTGCTTTCTGAACTGATACTGTTAATTGAATGAATGTGTGTCCTATATTCTGAACTGTATTGTGGCATCCTTAGCAACTACTGTTTACTGCTACTGTTACAGAGATCTCTGTCGGTTCCCTTGTTAGAACCACTACTGTTTACTGATTGATGGCCATAATTTACTGTTCGATCTTTTAAGACCTACTGTTCACTGTACTGTTATGCTAATGGATGTACCACATATGACTGAATGACTGACATACTAAATTAATGAACTGTTTTTATTACTGTAAGGACATTCATTCTCAACCCCTTTACGCATTACGTTATTCACTGGGCTTTAGCTCACTGCTCATATATATATGTAGGTGTACAGGCACCAAACCGCGGCTAGAAGCATCGGGGTAAAGCTCCAGTTTTTTCAAACCAACCACTGTGCCTCACTGCGAGGTTCCGAGCCTATCAAGTTATGGCTTAGTGGTGTTTTTAATTTTCCCGTCTGTCTCTGTATCTGTTTTGTATGACTGTATAGACTGTTACGGTACTGTTTGATAGGGATTAGGTCCCTGAACTGAATGATTGTATATAGGTACATACTGTTTTGTCACTGACTGCATGAATGTATGAAAAGTCTTTTTGGCATACAGACTATCACAGCTCATTGGACATTGTTTATTTACTGTATTGGCTTCCGCCAGCCCCTATACTCTGTATTATTGTTAAGCAGGCCTTCGGTAATCTCGGATTACTGGCCGGTTACGGTGCTAAACCCATAGGGGCAGGTTTGGGTCGTGACAGATGGTTTCTGTTTGCTTCAAACCATTTGGTCAACATTGTGTCATGAACACGTTGTTGGTCAATAACTTCGTGTAGATGATCATTGTCATTAAATATAACAAATTTTTGACCTAGAAGATGATATTGTAAATGCTCAATAGAAGGAGTTTGTTTTTGAATTTCAAACTCAAATATCCTCCAACACGCTCCAATCGCAGACACGTATCGAGCATCCAAATACTGTTTAATCTCATTAACTTGTTTGTAATGTCGTTGCCCGTTATTGTTTAGATGAATAACATTATTCTCAATCACAGTTGTCATGCGATCAGGCCCTTTGTTGACATATTTGTATAAATATTTCATCAACTTCGGGTGGGCACATCGTTCAATATTAATGTGGCAATCATATCGCACTTAAAGATCACGGTTATATGGAATGACCCATCTGTTATCAATTATAAATCCATTTATGTTTATTGTGTTACTCTCATCACATCTGAGCCTATATGATACAAATCCATTATCATCAATTGTTGTTTCATTACAAAATTTCTTTGGATAATGTTTTGTACACTTTTCATCTACCTTGCATGGAGCATTGGGATGAGCAGCACCACAAGGTCCATGTATCATCCATCTGACAACAGTCACATATGCCAATGGGTCTGTATTTTTGTTAGGTAATTCAGCACATATAAACTCATCAATTTGTTCAAGTGTGATTGGTTTATTCTCCGATTGTAATGTGAGAATGCGGGAATCCTCGTTTTTGAAACTCGATGACGTAAATAACTATTCATAAAAATAATTATTGATACATTAGAAATTTAAGAGTATTTATTATATAATAAATGCACAGTTGTTAGAATAATAATACTTGAAAGTACTTCTCCAAATATTTTATTTTCTTTCAAGTCGGTTAGTTGTTGTTTAAACTTAATCTGAAAAACTCTAGCAATGATATCAGGCCTATCTTCTACACATTGATTAGGTAGTCTTGGAAGATCAACTTTTATTTCTGGCCATATAGGATTGCATGTGAACGTAATAAACAAATTAGGAGCTCCAATAGTTCTGCAAATTGCCATAGCATCTTGATAACGTTGGATCATATTATGCGGGCCCCCAGAGAATGAAAAAGGCAACACAAATCTTTTCCCTACTGCTGACGCATCTACATCTCCAACAACTACATATTCTATTCCCTGATATAGATCTATGCGCAACTTAGCTTGATGGTTCTTGATGTAATTCAATCTAGTTTGCTCAATAGCAGCATAACAGTCAACGACAAATTGTTGAAAAAAACGCCCTCCTCTTAAAAGTGTTTTACCTTCAAATTCTCTATGTTGGAGTCTAAATGCATAAAATTCTCTAATTGACACATTGTTTCGAGATCTGCTTGAGGATGTATTAAAAGAGATGTCGCACCTCTATCCATATGTACCATATGAAAACAGTAATGGGTACTGTAATGGTACATATGATGGATGTATTTCACTGATTCTTCTTAATATACCATCATTTTTTTGAACAATGATGTCACGATGTGTTTCAGTTCCAATATCATCGCCAATGATTATCGCTGCAACTTCGTTTGCAGTTGGTCTGATATATTGTCATTCACCTCTGGAGTTTACAATATGCACATGTAGATTCAATACATTATGATCCCGCAACAAATCTCCAGTACTTCGAAATATTTTCACATAAGGATTAACTGCATTTATCATTTCTTGTAAACCTTCCAATATTGACAAATTAATGCCTAAAATATTTGTACTGGTTTGGCCCATCACATCAAGACGATTTTGCAATTCATGCTCTGTATCACATATATACAGTTGGGAAAACGTAGGTTTCTGACCAAGAGTTGGTAATAGTGACCCTATTCTATGATAATTTTCCCCACTAATCCGAAATGCTTTTGTACCTCTTCCATCTGAGATTGAATGATCTACTTTTCCACCCATTGATGTGAAAAACAACATTGAATTATACATTCTAATATTTTCCACAAAACTTGTATCCCTCAATTATGCATCTAAAAAGTCAGGAGCATGTGACAATAAAGGTAAAAGGACCTCCCCAGCTTGACAACATAATCTGAATTTGGGATTTGTTTTAGAACTATCATTTGTTCTCTCATCTAACCACATGATGGCGTGACATCGAGGACATGTGGATGTTCTGTTACTAAATTTCCATCTACTCATTACGCGTCATTTTCTGCGATGTGCAACCATTGCAACATCTGACAAATATAACATATGTAACATAATTACATGTGCCATATACTAAATAATTAGTATTATATGTAGGAGAAATTTACAATGTGCACCATTTCAAATGATGCATATTGTAAAAAAGTTATATTTTTTATGATAAACGTTATGATTGTTTGTAGTAAAGTTATAAATAGCGAATTTATGATATGCACCTTAAAGTTAGGAATGATAATGTTATGACATTTTATGATTTTTGTTATGACACTTTGAGATTTTGTTATGACATTTTTTAGTGAAAAGAAGTTATGATTTTTGTAATGAAAAAATTATCATTATTTAAATTGCTTTTGAGACAATGTATATTTAAATTGCTTTTAAGACAATGTATATTTAAATTGCAAGAGTTGGCATTATTTTTTTAAACAAAATTATTACAAAATAATTCTTACCTTGTTGTGGAACAATGTTATTATTTGTTGTCATTACGGGTTGTGACACATCTCCATGCAATTAAACGCCCTCGGTTATGGGATTTATGACTATTTCATCATAAAAAATCATTGAAAAATAATTAAATATCCCAAAATAAACTTATGTGAAATAATACAATGAGAATAGTAATGAGATAAGTATAAATTATGAGTCATGAATAACATAATAGTTTATTCTTATCTTGTTGTGGAAGAATATTAATTTCTGTTGTCATTGTGACTTCTGAGACATCTCCATGCAACTGAATGTCCTCAGATATGAGAGGCATGACTATTTCATCATTTAAAATTTAATTGAGAAATTATTAACTTAAAAATTAATATTTAATTTAAAGGTTCAAGAATATCAATTATTGGCAATTATAATTTTAAAAATTATAATTAAAAATATTAATATCTATATATATATATATATATATATATATATATTAGGGTTTACCTTCTGGTAGGACAATATTATTATTCACCACCCTTGTAACTTCCGAAACATCTTCATGTATGCGAACTTCCTATGTGAACTCCTTCAGATATTGGGAACACGACAATTCCTTTATTTGAATTTGCATGAATAAAATATTTTAGTATCAAATCATTTATTAGTTGAAGTTATGATAATATTGTCAAATAAATCATAATTCTAAAATTAATACAAATAATAATTATTACCTTCTTCTTCTGTGACAATATTGTTGTTCGCTATTATGGTTTCCTATAATAAATCCCTATGCAACTGAAAGCCATCTAAATTTTGAGACATGACTATCCCGTCATCTAATTGGATAAAAAAATAAACAATATAAGTATCGGGAATTATAATTTTAAAAATCGTAATTACAAAATTTATATATATGTTAGTGTTTACCTTGTTGTAGGACAATATTATTACTTACCACCCTTGTGACTTCTGAAACAGCCTCATGTATCTGAATACCCTCAGATATTGGAAACATAACAATTCCTTTGTTTGGATTTACAGGAATAAAATAATTAGTATAAAATCATTACTTTTTTGAAGTTATAAGAATATTGTCAAATAAATCATAATTGTAAAATTAATATAAATAATATTTCTTACCTTCTTCCTTAGATATGGAAGGCATGACTATTGGATCATATAATTTTCATAAAAAATATAAACAACATAACTATTAGCATTCATTATGAAAGTAGTAGATATTAGTATTTGCAAGTTATAATAAAAAGAATCATAATTAAAAAATATTATTACTTGGGATTTTTACCATTTAGAACATTAGTATTGTTTGTCAATGTGGTAACTCTTGAGACATTTTGGTGGAAGTAAACACCATTTGATGTGGAAGGCATATCAACTCCTGTATTTTAAATTGCAACAATATATATATATATATATTTAGTATAAAAACTAATGTTTCAATTAATATATATATATATATATATATGAAAATGATAATACTTCAAAGCTTACTTATGACATTTCGAATATTTGTTCTATAATGCAATTGTTTGTCACGTAGAACACATGCTCTTAATCGACGTGCTTCTTTTTCAAGTTGTTTCAATTTATCCTTGAATATGGGAACATTATGATTAGTCTGCCGTGAAATGAGCAATTTTCTTTTTCGACATAGTCGATTGATTTTAACAGTAACTGTATCACGTTCCATTCTGTAAAAACATAGAGATTGTCACAACGCAAACAATTTTTTTTTCCTCATCATGTGGGTTGAAATAGAGTGTAAAAAAACACAATCAGTAAAAAAAATTCAGTGTGATCAAAACGGAGTGTAAAAAAATACAATCCCATTTTTGCTCATAATAATAATAAAAAAAAAAAAGCAATGAAGTCTATTGGTATTTAAAAAGCACAATAATTTTTTTATTTTCAAAAAACACAGTGAGTTAAAAATTCAATCACAAATTAAGTCAATTGATAGTTAAAAAACACAATAATTTATTTTTTTCAAAAAAACACAATGAGTTAAAAAGATCAATTACAAATATTTTTTTTTTCAAAATACAATCTATTCATCATCAATAATGGGTACTTTTTGTGAACCTAATGAATACAATTTGTACGAGCACGAAATAATTCTCCTCGTATAATCCTGTTGATCAAGTGTGCGCTTCTCCAAACGTCGTCGCTTTGCTACCTGAAAACACAAACGTGAGCTAGCCGGCGAGTGTGCGCCGGAAACCTCTCTGATGCCTAAGTTAGCAAATAGACAATTACACAAAAGCTCTATGTATTCGGGAATCAAAGTTGTGTTACCTTTCCATAGGTTCTGTTGTGAGCTTTTATAACTTTTGTCTGGCATAATTCTAGTAGGACTCTTATTCCTCCATGTAGAGTCCTCCTAGGAATCACACTCCTGAAAGATAATGCTTATCCTTTAACACCTCCCTCACTGTTTAAACCAAGTGAGATGGTTTTACCATGGTTGGATGACAGTATGACCGAGCTAACACTAGCCTTTTGTCATACTTAGTCCAGCACCTTCCCAACTATACGACATAGCTCGGTTCTCCTCTCACTTGCACCTCGGATTGGTCTGTTTAGACCGAGCTAACTGTAGCAAGCTTTGACCGAGCTAACGAGAGCAAGGTCTACCATGAGAAGCCC